GCCGAATTTTCGACCCATCCTGTTCGATAACTTCTCCTGCTCGGCTGCCTCGTCTGTTTGCCCACTGCAGTGGATTTTCAATAAATGACTTACATCGCGAGCTAACTGCTGTCCATGTTCATGTGGCAATGGCCGATTGATCGGCGGTTCGGGAGGGCGGGAGATTGGAGGATGTGGAAATACCGCTCATCCAATCCAATATCCAATGGCGCATCCCCATCCAGTTGAACGTTCCTGGTATCGTGCTACTGTCCCGGACATTTGTTTGTGCTTTCAACGAGCACAGCTGCGTAAAGGACAGGAAAATCGCTTTAAAAATATTAACAATGTTGTTCGGACTTTCGACTGCTTCTCGCTTCATGATTACGATGGTAATGACCATAATGAAAAGTAAGCAGATGATGAATAGGTTAACGATAATGATTGCTATGAGGAATAAGATGATGATGATGATGTGGCTTAAGCTGGGCAGTTTAAATTGCAGCTAGGCTTAAACGGGCTTAACTTAAGTTTTCCTAATCGAAGATAAATCTAAAAACTGTGAAGTCCGATTTAACTAGTTATAACATTCAATATGATAAAATCTGAAACATAATTTTAAGCAAACAGCTCAATAGTGCCAAATGCCCAAAGACAAAATCACTCAGTAGTCCAAGTCATGTGGCTCCGCGCAAACAGACAGTGAGATTCCTTAAGAATATCGATAAGTGGTGGTTTTTTCTTTATTTTCAATATTTTAAGGTGTTTAGCTTTCTGGATAACTCGTTTTACGGTAGCTACACTTGCATTCACTCACATATTTTGGTGAATTTTGGCTGCAGATCATCTAGAGTTGGATGCTTCTCGGAGTATTCTTCGCTCTTCGGAAGCAGTAAGTGCTTTATAGGAGGGTTTTTTCATATTTTCCCCGCAATTCGATGGATCACGTAAGAAATGACTGGCAACAGACTGACTTCTAGAAATTTTTGTTGCTATTTCTCTAGTTGTCAATTTGCAGTCATGGTACGCCAATATTTTGCCTTTTTCCTCGAAAGTAAGCGCATTACCACGACTCATATTATGTATGTTTTCCTTATAAACTTTGCTTTCGCATTAAGGTATTCGCTATTTAAAAAGATCAATCTGGTAACGCTCGAAGTCTAGGAGAGTATTTCGTATTCCAAATTTCAAGTCTCCGAGACAATCCGAAAATCCTGGCGCTTCTCATTTAGTTCAAAGATAGAAATCTGCTTTAACAAATATAGCCTTTGTCGTTGAATGCAATTGTACAGAGTATATGTACCGCAAACACTTTCAGCACACAATCGATGGATATTATTATTTCTCTCTCTCTTTTTTCTGCTTTTGTATGTGTCGCTCTTTCGCTTTTGGCTAGCTTATATGTCCTGCTGCTCTTTTTGTTGGCTAATGAAAACATTTGGTCGGCAAATGGAGGACGAGTAGTTATTAAAATATTTTTCCATGTGTGCTTGCCCGTGACATTTACAGACATGCAGACAAGCGACCAACACACTCACACACACACAACTGTGGTGGATGATGAAATAAACGGCAAATATGTAGGTTTATAGCAAAATGCCTATCTATACCTGATGAAATTTCGGCACACATAGAGTTTGGGTTTCCGGTTGGGTGTCATGTCCTGCCCAGCCATGCCTAGAGTAGTGTACACTGCACAACCAGGTTTAGGGCTCTTGTTGTGTGTTTTCTTTAAAGTGCAGCCTATTTACCTGAGCTTTCATGCTGTGTGCATATGTCTGTGTGTGAATGTGTAAGTGTGTATATGTGTGTATGTGTATGTGTATTCGTAGGCCCGCATAAATGACGTACGGTATGTGTCTGAGTCAGTGCGTTAGAATGAATGTCCCGGGCAACACTCTGCCGCGACTGTGCTGCTGGCTCTGTTTACTTTCATCTCCTTCGTCCCGCTTCGCTTCACTTCACTTTAATTTCAGTTCGGTTAAACTGTGCAGAGCCTCTTTTGGGGACTTTTAAACAGATTTTTATCAAAGTATTTAATGCGAGTATTTCTTTGTCGTTTACAGTTATTGCAGCATCTCTCTCTCCTTCTCTCACACTCTATTTCTCTCCCTCTCTCTCTATCTATATGACTCACATTCCAGCTCCAACACTACCTAAAGATTTATTAAAAAGCTCTTGTTTTGTAGTATGCTCAATTTATATATTTTGCAAGTCACAAAAAAGGATATGCTATAGTTCATCAATCGTGTACATGAATGCTCTGGATATGATATTTATTAAAAGCTTTTTTATCATTCAGCATTTTGACAGCAAAGACGTTTCTTGTTTTTTGGTTTTACATTTAATAAATATGTTGTATTGACAGAGATAAGCAACTTCGGCTAGGTGAATGCAATTGTAAAAGTAACGGTTTCATAATTATGTTTGCTGTGAGTTTTCTCAGTTCTAATATTTATATTTAAACAAATGGCAAATATTTGCTTGCTGTTGAACTTTCATTTAATTTGTGACTTTGTCCACGATTGCAATAAATATATTCAAAATCACCTGGGATAAAGGCCTTGTTCACTTTGATATGCAATTTATATTTAATCGAAAAGAAACGCAATAGCAATTGAATATGCTTGGCTTATGTAACCATAAATATTTAAACACTTAAGTCTAGCAAATCGTTAGCACATTTACATAAATGATTTTCAAAAGATTGTAAGGAGACAATCAGTGTGATTGACCAGCACATACCCTGATCCACAGTTGCAGAGTTTTAGTCTTACACAAAGACATCAGCGGATATCCTATGTCTTCCACTGTTTTGACTTATTCGCAATTTCTGTCTGTATCACAGAATGATGCCTCTAGCACTTGTGGTCTTCAAGCTAAGCTTCAAAAATACATTTGTATGGGACAATGGTCGGGCAATATTTCTATGATGTGGTCTGTGGTTTTTGTGTCAGCGTTAACAGTCATATCCGATTGATTAACTGAGTACAGTTTTGATAGAGTTTCACTGCGCTTTATCACCCACATATTTAATTGTGTATGATGGCAAAGAGCGGTTGGGAACCATAAAAATTCCACTTGCATTTGCGGAAGACTTTCGTGAAAATTTTGTTGTTTGCCTGTATTATTTATTGCTTTAAATATGAGCGAAGGATTATTGCCGGCTTTTCGACCACGTTGAGTTCAAGTTGGCTTTCGAGCTATTTGTGCGCGATAAAAATCGCACCCGAACGTGACAATCGACACGTTGCTTCGCGTCGGCAAGATTAAAGTCGCGAGCAAACAAAGCCAATGCAGGGTACGTGGGCGTAGAAAGTGGCGCGCGCGTTGCGCACCGCCTATCCTTATGATGTTTTGCTTACCGTATGCGAAAGGCGGACATTCCTCTTAAAGCTGTCAGCTCTGTCGGGCCTATGTACAATCCTCAACTGTCCCAGACACGAAAGCCTCGACCAGATTTATTTATTCACTGCTCGAGTTACTGGCTGCAACTTATGAAATATTTAGGCATTGGCCCAGCATTGGTTAAGCCAAACAAAGCATCTATCTGTTGACCTACTCAGGCTGAAAAGTTCTTCACGTGCTTTGATGTTATGGCTCCCGCATTAGCCACCAGCTCCCAAATCCAACAATTTGCACTCAATTGCAATTTCCGTGTCGTGTTGCTGGCTTTGGCGTTGCCGATGATATTTCCATTGCTACGTGGCCGTCTGCATCCGCCTGTCAATGTGTTAGGCGCTCAACTGCTCTACCGTCCCAGCTACCCACCGACCCACAATTCCATTCTCCACTCCCCTCTCGACGCTCGTGGCACGTACGAAGCGAACGGTGTTCGAAAATGGGAAATGCGCAGAAATTTGTTCAGACATTTGTTGTTAGTTCTTGTTGATTGTTAGTTTTCCTCGTTGGTTACATGTAGTTCTTGTTGTTCTTTCATTTTTAAATATCAATATAAAACGTGATAGTAGGCATCTGAAATTCCTAGAGGAGTGCGTCTTAAAACATATTTTAGCCAAGCACTGAAAGAGGCCTGGTGATTCGGCGAAAGCTTAAAGAGCAGACAGTCAGCAGAAGTTCCCTGATCAACTGTCAGCTACTGCGAACTCCGAAGTAAGCACAGGGGACTTTGCCAGTGCATTTATCAGGTTCTGGACAGCTTACCTCCAAGCCAGTTGCAGCTAAGCATCTGGCAGGAAGGCGACTTATCTGGGTGACTTAATTAGAATTTGAAAGGTCAATGCACCCAAAAAGACGCAATTCTATCTAATGGGCTTACGTATAGCTTTATTTAACATAGTACATACGTATGTGCTACAAACTTTGAAGGGTTCGCACTTGACTAACAGCCTAACAAACATCTTTAAAGTAAATATGTTGCGGAAAGTGCATCCGTTTTGCAATAATAAGATACAATTATCTTAAAGATCCAAAGCCCAAATATAGTTACTACTTATGCTCCCTATGTATGTGAAGCTTAAGATATCTTGGAAACAGACATCGTTTACTTACCAAAAATTAAACATAGAATGAGCAAAAACTAAACATACAATACCAAAAATCTATATATCCATTTCAATATGAAATATTTCGTTGAATTCAAAAGAGAAATAGATATGATGTAGAAATTACATAGAGCGGCTTTAAAATACAAGTTGAGAAAGCAGTTGAGCAGAGTAGAGCATGAAAGGTTAGCATAGAGAACAAACTAACATATTAAATACTTGTGATAAAATAAATAAACAAGATGACATTAATATCCAAAGAAAAAGATCGGCGAAATAAGATCTCATTCATGGAAATACTTTACTGCGTACGCGCTCCTGCTGATCGACCGGTTTTTGAGAACTTTTCATATTTATTATTTACCATATATCAGAGTCTATTCCATAATGTTAACCTACAGTTCCTGTTTATCTTTCGACCCACCTCTAAGTATTATTGATGCTATAAGTAAAAGCTATGCTTATACACTATATTTCCAAATTATTGACACATTAACCTACATACCAGGAAGTCGAGCACTGACTTTCATTTGTAAAGTTAAAAGTTAGCCTTGATATATTTCACAAATTTGTAGTCAACAAGCCAAATTTGTTTTTTTTTAACCTATAGACAGAGAGAGGATGGTTAATCTGCTAGGAAATGAGCCGATGCGCCTTAATCGGAATCGGACCGACGAGCTGAAGAGTAAAATCAAGAAGGCGTCAACGCTGGAAACAATGCAGAAGATGCTGAGCAGGCTGTCGATCCATTGCTTTCATAAGTGCGTACCGAAACCAGAGGATTCCTTGGACAGCCGCCAGCGTATGTGCATCTCTTTGTGCATGGATCGTTATATGGACTCCTACACTCTGGTGGCGCGTGCCTTAGGCAATCGTCTGCAGGCTGAACTGAAGGAGGGCCTCGAGCAGCAGACGCAACAGCAAAGGCAGAGCCAGTCATGAGCATAGCAGCAACAGTAGCATTGTTCAAATTTTGGAAACAACTCTCATATTAGTTCGATATTATAAAGTTGCCTTTGGATAAAGTGTTTATTTAAATTTAAGTTGGTATATTTTCGAAATCGGTTCGAGTCTGGAGCCACGCAAAAAATTTTTAGTTACGTAAGGTCTTCGGCGAGATAGAGAGATAAAGTGGGAGATAGATAGAGGGAGAGGGAGAGGGAAAGAGAGAAAAAGGAAGAGAAAGAAGGAAAGAGGGAAAGAGAAAGAGAGAGAAGGACGGAGAGACAAATAGAAAGAGAGAAAGAGAAAGAGCAAGGAAAAGGAAAAGATAGTGAGGGGGAGACATAAAAAGTGAGCGAGCGAACGTAAAACAAGACTTGGGAAAAGGGCATGGATCGCATATCCGATGGGGACTCGAAGGAGCTGATGCGTCAGATGAAGCAACAAATTGCGCTGGCCAATGTCCAGGAGCTGCTAGCCACAGTCACCTGCAAATGCTTTGAAAAGTGCGTAACCAAGCCTCGTGAACACTTAAGTGGATCGGAGGAGAGCTGCATCCATATGTGTATGGATCGATTCCTAGACTCTTTTCGCCTCTGCGCGCACACATACGGCCAACGATTACGGCGCGAGCTCAGCCGTCAGCACGTCTAAATGGACATTGAACAACGAAGCAGCCGGGACCTGAATTGAGCTCACCTGAACAATTGCAGGTGTAGATTGTTGGCTCCACTTTTAACAGTGATATCAATAGCTTAGCCAAAATAAACTCACATAAATTCGCATTCACATTCTAATTCAAAGTTCTGTTCATTTTTTATATTTTTGCGACAGCTATTTTTTGAATGGCCACCTTTGGTTGCGTTGCTTTCGTTTGCATTAATGCCAGGACGTTGCATTCACTGCATAGCGTATGTCCTCCTGTCCTTCTGTACTTTACGGCGCTGGCATCGGGAACGGGTCAGTGCTTTAGTAGCTTCCGCTGGTCGCCACTTTGTGTGAGCCTTTGAAATGCGAGCAACTACTGGGCACGGACCAGTTCCTGTTAACCTTTTGGGCCTTTGGCCCGTTGTGAACTGTGTACGAGGGCTGCCATATGCCTACTGGCGAAAGTAACTCGCTGTAAGTATTAAATGTTATAGCTTTATGATTTTTCTCAGCTTTGTATAATCTTATAATTTACGCTGGAAGCTTCAATTAACATTTCGTGATAGAAGCACAATTTAGCCTTTAGGTAAACTTGTAGGCCAGGCTTTATCTAAGAAAAACAACTAGATTGATTATTTAATTTTCATTTAATTTATTAATGTGCTCTCAAGACTGTGGTATAACTTTGGCTAAGATATTAATTGATTTTCAAGATAAAGAGCTTGAATCAACTACCAATGATGTAATGTCATAATTTTAAGCGAATTAAGACCAGTTCGTTCTCGAAATAAAACGGTAAAGAAAAACCAGATACGAAATTGGTACTCAATGAGGGAATTTAAAGTTAATAAAAAAATGCGTATTCCTGTTGAACACACATGGCCGTGCGCCGGCCGGGAATCGAACCCGGATCAGCTGCTTGGGATACAACCATGCTCGCCACTACACCACCGGCGCATGTAGCACTGATGACACCGAATGCCAACTAAATGCAAACGAAAGGAGGTGCGAGTGGGTTGGAGTGGGTATTGTTGCAGCAGCAACAGTCATCAGCAGCTGCCCGTGGCATATCAGAGAGCTGCCATGGTTGCCAGGGGAAACTGTCTGAAAGCAGCTTGTTGATGCTGGCCTTCACTCAAATTCAGGACGTCATTGTGTCTATAAATCAACAGCTGCATATTTTCGACAACGACCAACTGTTGTCAGCTGGACACTCTCGACATTCCTCTAACTCGAGTTGCACTTGTACAATGAACTGCAGCTGGCAACTGGTTGTCGGTTGTTGGTTGTCCGTTGTTCGCTGTTGGTTACCTTGCGGTTGAATTAAGTCCAACAAAAGTAGAGGCTTTGCTTAGATTACTGATGCCTAATATGGCGCGTCCAAGTCCCAGCGTGGTAGCCATTGCCATTGCCGGTTGTGTGAGCACAAAAAAAGCGAATGAAAAGAGGCAAAGCACATGCAAAGGTGCCACAAAAGCGCAAATGTAGATGGGCTTTTCAAAATGAATATTAAATTGCAAACAAGGCAACGTGAAGTGGGCTTTGGGCTGCGCGAGGCGGTGCTACCGAGTCGCCATTTACATAGACCTGTAAATATATATATGTGTGTGTGTGTATATATGTGCCATATTTATGTACACATAATGCGACCTCCGTGGCCAAGGCAAGAGGTGAATAGGCCGAGAACTGCTTATACACAACTGGTAAATGAGGATTATAAACACTCCGAATTCAGAAGTCAGTGACACATGTTGGCTAGACGCTGGGGCTGGGCCTGTGGTTGATTGTGGGCGTGGGCGTATACGATATCGATTAAGATTGCCGAATTGCATATACAAATCACATAATCAACATAAATACATTACGATTCAAGGAGGTGAGAATGACGCTCCTTAAGCTTATTAAGCTTATTATTGTCTGCTACTCATATACGTTCTGTGAATGACTGATTATTTAATGCTGTATATCAATATGGAAAAGTAAATATGTCGCTAAATGCAATTCTCGAAAGTATGTATTTGCATATATATAATTAAATTAAATAGGAAAAGAAGCTATTTTTCCTTTTCCTTAAATCAATAATATAACTGTTACAATTTAATGGTGCTCGCAATTGTTAAAGACAAATGTCTCTGGCATTCAGTTATCTGGCAAGCTCTACCTCACAATTGCAATCTCCCTATGAAAAAAGGAATAATAAAAAATTTGGTGCAAATAACAAAAAATAAAATCAATAACAAATTAATTATTTAATTAACTTTTAGGACAATAAATTAAATGTTTATACTGTAGCGATGAGGTGTGTCAATACCTGATACTGAAAGCTAGCATTAGAGTCGGGACCCATTGGAAGGGTCTTATGTTGGGTGCCTAAAGCGTCTAGGCTATGACACTAGCTAATACTTTAATCCTTATCTTATTTCACAAGCTTCCTTAAGGGGTTGCCTGGAGTTTTTCTTAAAACTGTTACTAATAGCGGCAATTCCAGGTCTTTCTATTATTTATGTGTATAGCCGGCCAATATAAATGACTTTGACTTTCTGAAAGAATTGTCATAGAGAGATGGTAAATAGTAGCATACTGAGCTTGAACAGGCCTGAGTACAGAAGAAATCGAGAGACAGAAAAGAAAGAATCAGGCGTGTGGAATAAAGAGGTAATAAGAAAGCTGTTCAAATGAGTTTATGCTTGAAGAGACGAGCTTTCAGTAGTTGAACCTCTTTGGTCGAGCGAATTCTCTCCGCAGTCGCTTAGCAAAAGAACGGTCACCCTTGGTCACCAATCAACTAATCAATGCTTCAATATATAAAAACAAGTTTAGGAGGACATATCATATTCGATTAAATCTAACCAAATACAAAATCAATACGCGTTATCACTTTTTAGAGAAAATTAAAGAAGATCGAGTTGCTGTGTGCGCTGGCAGTTTAAATTTCTGTTTGCAAGTGAATTCCTATAATTTGGAGTTGTAGGCGGGTGGTGTGTGGGTTGTATTGGGAGGCAAGTCTCTATCCATTTTGCTGCTTCAAATATGACATGGCATATGCATTGTTCTCAAAATGATTTGCGGCTCTAATTTTTCGCACACACACACGGATACACAGACACACTTACATTTGGGAGCTGCAAAAAGTTATGCATTGTTGCCATGCTTTGTCATCGTCGTCGTCTTTGCTTTATTTTTGTGGGTTTTGTAGCGCAAGTTGAGCGAAGCTGCAGCTTGAACTCAGGCGCAAGTCGTCCGCTAGCTGGCAAACTATGCAGCAAGTAAAATGCCACCGCAAACCGCATGCAGCAACGACTGTTGCAACTGCTGCCGTTGTCCTGATCATTTTATGTTGCATAAGCTGAGGCGCCAAAACAAAGCAAAACTCGCTCGGTTCAACATTTCTGTTGCTTGGAAATTTATTCATGTGCTCCACCCCGGCTACACCTCTACGCCACATCTGTCCGTCTGTCCATTTGTCGTAGTTTCGGCGTTTGTCTTTTCGAATTTGGGTATTTGAGTTGCAGCCTTCGTGCCACACACACATACACATAGCCCTAGTCATGTCGTTCCCAGCCCCTGTAAGCCCTGCTGGCCACGTCCTCCTCCTTTCTGGCTCTGTCAAATGCAACACACAACTTCTGCTGCTTTTTGGCTACAATGACAACAAAAGTTCGCTCCTCTCTAAATTTTTAATTGAAAACTCACATATCGCAATTTTCTCACGACTCACAATTGGGCCTGGGTCTATCGACCTTGTTAAGTTGCATGAAAATTGTCAATGGCTTGAAATCAATTAAAATACCTTTGCGAAATTTATCACCTGCAAAACGTGCGTCTCCGAATAGACACGAAAATAAGTTCCGCCTTTACTCCTTTTGCATTGCAGCTCCTTTAAGTGCATCAATTACGCCAGCCAACTTTGTTGCAACTGTAACACAAAGTTTCAGCATAGCCGACTCTTTGAAATTGAACTACTCGCCATGGCGAGGCACAGGTCGCCAGCAGGACGCTAACCGGAAAACGCATGACAAAGTCACAGGCAACGAGCCCAAAACTTGACAAATTTTTACAACAGCAAAAGTTGAGGTAAGTTGTGTACTAAGAGTTAAAACTTTTGCCTCGCACACACATATACATATAATCATTTACTTTGCACACATTCTCACACACACACATAAATACAGTCTCACGCATCTCGCGCACCTTACAAATTTTCACTAAGCTATCTTGTAATTTCTCTTATTTTACTCATTCATGGAGTGAAATGAGTATATTGGCTTTGTGCAATGGCCGTCTTTCTGTCCGTCCGTCTGTCCGTAAGCACTCAGGGTATTTCGCCGCTTTTGAAGCTAGAACCTTGATATTTGGAATCATAAAGATAAGACGAATAAATCTAAGTCTATTTTGGTAGTTAACACACCAAATTTATACCAAAATTTATATATGCTTTTTGAGAGCATGTCAAATCAAAAAAAAAACATATTTTTCAATGTCTTGGAGCTGGCAGCGCTTGTACCATACCGGGAGCCATTTGCCAATTTAAGGCATGAAGTGCTTCATTTTGGAACACAAATGCTGCAATTAACCCCATTAGTTGTTAGTGACTTACTCTTGCCAATTATGTAGCTAAATTCGAGTTGAATTTCGGCTCAAGAGATGCTGTGTGTATGCACCTACAATTTATAAAGTGAGAGAACGAATATTTATTTTTTTGCTGAAATTTACTGAAAACATGACAAATGACAGTTGGTGAAACGCAAGCGTAGCTTTGTAATCAACTGAAATTAGAAGTAAACTCTAAATATATAGTTTTTCTATAGATTTCGCTTTGGCCACACTCTTTGGATACTTTTGAAGCCTAGCTTATCTCTAACCCCCATGCGATGTAATCCACTGCGGCAAACTCTGTTCAAACTGCTCTTGCGTTATAAAATATTTAACGATAGAAAGCTTCACTTTGTCGCCTGGATGTTGTGGCGTAGGTTGCAAAAGATGTTGCGTGCGACTTTGCAATGCGGCGCAAATGTTATGCTCGCGGAGCAGCAGCTGCTATTGCGGATGCTCCTTTTCCACGTGTCGCTGGCATCCAACTAAATTTACGTGCAGCAGCGACTGAAATCTGGGCAAAGCCTTCAACGGCAGTG